TTTTTTTTCTTTAGATAGTTGAAGCTCTATCGAGCCAGATTATACTTCAGATTTCTACTTTCTCCCTTAATTTTTTTCCCCCCAATTGCTTTATTTTGTCTGTTCACCCCTTTCCCGTCCCATGTACTGCTTGAATTTAGAAATTTAGGGTTTCCCTTCTGTGATTTTTTTATCTTGTCTGAGGAAAATAATGGAGGAGGTCGAAAGGGCGAACATCGCCGCCGTCGAGACCTGCCACCGGGTAATCTCCATCCTATCCCAACCACTCGATCAAAACCACCTCCGAACCCTATCCGACCAAACCGGCCAAGCCGTCCACAAGTTCAAACGAGTCGTCTCCCTCCTCGGCTCCGGCTGCGGCCACGCCCGCGTCAGAAAGAGCAGAAAAATCCAAACCCCTTTCCCCCAAAGCATCTTGTTAGAAAATCCGATCCCCAAAACAGAGGATCACCAAATAATCCCCAAACCCCTCAGTCTCCTCCATGTCAACCACGACCGGGAGCCCGCCCCGCCACCCACCGCCCATAACAGCCTCTCTCTGAAAACCTCTTCACTCGACCTCCACCTCGCCCAGCAGAAAGCCCCTCTTTCGAGCTACCATTTTATGCAGAATCAGCAGCAGAGGCTTCAGATTCAGCAGTTGAAGCATCAGGCAGACCTCTCATACAGGAGAAGTAGCAGTGGGGTTAGCCTCAATTTCGACCGGTCAACCTGCACGCCCACCATGTCGTCTGCCAGGTCGTTTATCTCTTCGTTGAGTATGGATGGAAGTGTGGCCAATTTGGATGGGAATGGGTTTCGTCTAATGGGTGGCGCGCGCTCGGCAGATCACGGCTCGTTTCATCACAAGAGGAGATGCTCGAGCAGAGGCGAAGATGGGAGTGTCAAATGTGGTGGAAACAGTAGATGCCATTGTTCAAAGAAGAGGTTGCTACTTTTTTTTTGTTTAGATTGTCTTGTTTTTGTTTGTTTGTATTTGAATTTGAATGATGGTTGTTGATGACTGATATTGACTGTGTTTTCTTTCTTCTTCTTCTTCTTCTTTTTTTTCTTCTGGGTTTTGTGTGCAGAAAGCATAGGGTGAAGAGATCCATCAAAGTGCCTGCCATTAGTAATAAGTTAGCTGATATACCGCCCGACGAGTACTCGTGGAGGAAATATGGTCAGAAACCAATCAAAGGTTCACCTCATCCTAGGTATGTATTGATGGCTCGCTGTTCAACTGATTTTCTTGAAGTATGTTGATTTTGAAAAGTTGATGTCTTGCAAGAACTTGTATTTTGAGGTGAAGTGATTTATCTTTGAAGAAGCAAGAAACTAGTGAGAAATAAACAAGTCTTAAATTAGAGCAGTGTAAGTTCCAGTTGATTAAGTTTTGAAAGTGTGTGTGTGTGTGTGTGTTAAACATAACAAACAACATATTCATAGAACCTACAAGCAACCATCATTCATTAAAGTGTGTAGAATTAGAAACAAGAAATTAGCATTTGAAAATCGCTAGAATATCCAAAGTCGAGAATCGAGTTACATTTCTTATATGTGAAGCTGTTCTCACAATCAAGTTACAATTTTTACTCTCGGGATTGAAGGAGTGTGTCTTATTGTTGTTTTGTTTTGAAACCCTTATTTATGGCCCATCTCATTGTTCTTGATCTCACATCCACAAATGCAATGAACTTTCTTATACTTGATAGTATATAAGAAACATTATTACTGATTTATGCCCCCGTAGCTAATATCTGGCTCGACATCCTATGTAACTTCTATTTGTACGCAATATTACACTTCCTTTTTCGCTGTGCTCTTTTGCACAATGCATTAAATTTGATTTGTGATTTTTGATTTTGTGCAGAGGATATTATAAATGCAGCAGCATGAGAGGCTGCCCCGCGAGGAAGCATGTCGAGAGGTGCTTAGAGGAGCCCTCGATGCTCATCGTCACTTATGAAGGCGAACATAACCATCCGAGGTTGCCTTCACAATTGGCCAACACATGAAAAATCAGTCGGAAACTTTGGTCAATTATTATGTCAAAGCCTCGGAACCTAATTTGTCAGTCCTTTTGTCTTAACTGGCTTATGATTTTTGCTTGTGTACATACATATATTTATATATATGGCTTGTTTATGTCGTAAGCGTATTATCATTGATATTTTTGAGGATTTCTAGTTTTAAGAATTTGGTTGAAAATGAAAGCAAGCAAGCCAAGATTTCTGGGTTTTGGTTGATTGTAAGGAAGGATAGAAGTTCCATTGTTGTTAGGATGATTGTTGTTTAAGAAGTATGGAGTTTTATTCCTCCCAAGTTATGGTTTCATTTTGCAATTATTTTTTGTTTTCTAATTTCCACTTTGGGTCTCTTGAGTGACATATAAAAGAAGAAAGATATCTTTTATAATCATGAATTGTGTGGCCACTCTTATAGACTTTTGCAGTTGTATGGAAACAACTACTCTCTCAAGACTTTTGCAGTTGTATGGATCTCATCCAATCTAAAAATGGTATTTAAATTAAAACTTTATGAAAGTATATAAATGTTGGAAGAGTTTGATTGTCCAAGTCTTGTTTGACTATTAGGTGATAGTGGATGGCAAATATTTGATTGTATTAACGTATAACTGATAGCGTATTTTATTTTATGAGCGGATTGTATTGCCTGTTTGAGATAACGATATGGTATATCGTAATATTTTGCTATTTTTGAAGTTTTACGTCGGACGTGTTGTTCTATGAATCATCTTTTCTTAAACGTTCATATACTGAGTTTTTTAGAATAAGCTTTTTGTGCTAAAAAAAAACTAATCAAATAAGCTATTTAGTGAACGAGATAATTAGCAGATTCGACGGGTCAAGGTTCAATTCGTTGAATTTGTGGCAATCTTATTCATTATATAAAATAAAAATGAAGTAGATAACATTTAAAAAGTAATTAATTATGCTATTGGTTATTAACCTACCAAATCAAAAGTTATATGGTGTCTAAAATAAAATAAATCCACCGTTTTAGTGGAGGCTATCCTTCCTACTCATATAATTGAAATAATGTGACATTAGAAACTCATATAGGTCATGGACTCATGATGGTCTTGGGACCTCCTTTTTTTTTTTTTAACAATGATCTTTCTTTTCTTAAATGCTTCTAATGAAATTATATTTCCTATTTAACTTTGTGTTATTTTCGAATTTCATTTTGTTAAATGAATAACTTTATATTTATATACGAGTCATTCATTCAAGAAAATGAAATTAGAATAGTAATACAAAAGATTTCTCTATAATATTAATTTTTTTATGTTCAAATAATAATTTTATGAATTATTGATTATGAAATTTGTTCACCTTTTTAGGGGATAATAATTTGTTCACTTTTTTAGGAGATGCTATGGTTCTGTTACGGTAACATTTCGTCGGTGTTTGTAATCGTTACATCAACTATACTAGACAGTTACATGATAATCTAACGGTTACAATCTTCGACGGAATTGTTCCATGACGGAACCGTAACATTTCTCTTTCTTATGGATTCACATTCTGAGTCCATTATTGATCAGCTTTGACGTAGACGGTTTTCCTGCCTTGTTAGAGAGCGATTAACGATTGGTCTTTAAAAAGACAAAACATTATAAAATAATGTGGCATATATTCCACTAAATTCTATACCAAAAATGCTATTATTAGTATCGTTATTTTCAACGACAAAGCGTATTTTGTCCTTATCATATCCCACATTCTATTTTATTTTTTTCAAATTTGTCATTATTGTTTTCAGATTGCAATAATATTTTATTATTATTATTATTATTATTATTATTATTATTATTATTATTATTATTATTGAACTTATGCTTCTGTTAATGTAGCATTTTTTGGTGCAATAGAAAGAGATCTTGCGTGTAAGTCTTTGAAAATAATTGTATTCATACAATCATACTTGTAACTTGTAAGTAGTAATGCCAATCAGTGACGTGTAGCACTGTCAAAACGGGTCATGGCCCGCGGGCTGGCCCGTCCATCCATTTAAATGGACAGGCTTGAGACTTTGCTAGACCAACCCGTTCAATCGCGGGCTTATTTGGCCCGCTCCGTTTGGCCCACGGTCTAAAGCGGGCTGGGGCGGGTTGGCCCGCGGTTCAACCCGTTTTTTTTATTATTTATTTATTTGTTAATTTTATATTATTTAAATTTAGTATTTCTTATTTATTTAGTATTATTTGTCTTTATCGTCTTTTTTTTTCTTCTTCTTCTTTCATATTTATTTATTTTATATTTTTTAAAACTTGACAATGATATTAAGATTTGTGAGTGCACATGAAACACTTTTTTACATAGTAAAAATATTAATGAATCAAATAACAGTTTATGTGAATTAAGTGTCTCCTCCGCGTGATACTTTATAACTATTCATAAAAAAATTTAAAGTAAAAACTGGATGACAAATATTTAACATCATTACACATGAAGCCTTACTAGTTTATTTATAGAAATGCGCGCTATTTTGGCCCGCCCCGTTTGAACCGCCAGCCAGCGTGGGCCGAAGCGGGTCGGATCGGACCGGCCCGTTTGACACTGCTAGTGACGTGTGTACGGACCTATTCATCAACTAGTGAGTTTGTATTAATTAATTTTGGGATTAATTTTTTTTAATTGTTAAAGTGAATTAACACGGAAAAAAAGTTGTTTGAATTTGACATTGAGTTTGTAAATAAAGATGAGTTAAAATGTAATAATTAAAGCTAATAAAAGACTTACAAGCAACTCGCGAGCACTCAAATCAAAGGTAGACTCGATTGTTTGCGAGCCGTTTGTAAATGAATATCGATCGAGGTTGATTATGTAATGAAGGTCTTTTATCTCAATTCGCCAAATTGATTATAAACACGACTTCATAACAGTTATATTCAGAACATGTCCTAAAGTCGGGCCTATTGTTGATACTCAATTTTGTCTCGATTAACAAAAATATTACACGTGGACATATATATATATATATATATATATAATAACAGGTTCTTCGAGCTGATTTGCTAATATTAACCGAGTGCCCATAAGTCAAGATTGTCCACATCTGAGCCGAATGGAGTTCAACGTCACCAACCCGACACGGATGTCATAAAGAAACCGCTCTAGCAGACATTATAATTGCCGACAAAACAAATATCAATCGAAGCCGTCAAGTATTATAATTTATGGGCCATGCGCGATCATATTTTATTACACTTGTATTATAATAATATGTATAGGGTTATTAGATAAAAAAAAAAACTCAAAAAAGGCCCTATATATAGATATATACATGTATAGGACTGCGGGGTGCTTGATTTTTTTTTTT